CCTGCATGCGCCCGGGCAATCCAGCTGACCCGCGCCGGGTCATAGGTTTGCTAGTCGCTCACAGGGCCCGTCTCTACTGATGCAGGGGCATGCAGCCCCTCCCATAAAGTCTAGCAATATCCAGACCCATAGAAGAATACATAGATCACTTCTGCTAGGCCTGAAGTCAGTCTGAGGAGCCCTGGCATTGCCAAACTCCTCAATTCCACGTGTCATTTCTTCCCCGATGTTTGTCTGTTCAGCTGGGAAGAATTAACATTCCAACCACCAGCCAGCGGGGACCCCCGGAGCCTGCGGGCACCAGGATGGAAGAGGCGGGCGTGCCTGTCTTTAGCCACAAGTTTTATTGTTTTAGTATCAGCTCACCACACTTCAGCAAGCCACTATTAGGGTTTGTGGTACATTAATACACATCTGTCGTAGTTACACGCAATGGACTCAGATTTGTACAGCGTTTGTACATGGGGGGTGGGAGGGAGAATCAAATAACAAAATAAACATTAGCAGTCAAACCATTTTTTGTATCTTACTCACAAAATCGGATAGCCAAAAAATGACTACGCTACAAAATTGTAATACATACTGTACGGGTAAAATGTTATCATCCATTTATACATCTACTATCGCCTTGATTCTTGGAGGCCTATAGGTTTTAGTGGATTAATAATTCCCTACAAGATTGTGGTGAACTGCTAAAAGCTGCTGTAACCGGGTATTGGAATCTTTGTTAAGGTTTCATTTGCATCGTTTCGTTTGTTTCAGTGAAACCATCATGCACATCCACCGAAAGGCAAGGGAACTGATCAGCGGAGGGGATGGGGCAGTAGCTGGTGTATCTTGGCTATAAATTTAGGACCCATGACCGTGCATCCGTTTCACTGTTCTGAACTCTGAAAAGGGTCAAGTCTGGACTGTCCTTCAACTGCCTGTAAGATTTGTTTTCAGCTAAGATGAGGGGGAAAGGTGGTTAATCTGGTTCTTCAGTAGCCTCTCCAACTGGCAGAGACTTTATTCTTCAGATGTTTTCTCAGCCAGCAGCAGGAAAATAAAAAATCTTTCAGACTCTGAACTAATATACTGGATAAAAAGTCAACCATGTGGACTCATAGCTCCTATGGATTCAAAACCCGTGCAGGTCCTTCTTTGCTCTCTGAATGGGAAGGGCACCGGGGTGGAACAGGCAACTCAGCACTTAGTGGTCAAATGCAAGACTCCTTGACTGGAGAGAAAAAAAGTCCCTCTTGCCTCCTCCTAGACCCCCCACCCTCCCAGGAGTTGTTGATCACTAGGGGTATGTCTGAACTACATCCCTTTTTTGATAAAGGGATGTCAACTAGACATATCAAAATCGTAAATGAAGCCGGGATTTGAACATCCCGCATTTCATTTACATAATGGTGGCTGCGGCTTTTTCCCCAAAAAGCTGCTTTTCGGGAAAAAAAACCCAAACATGATCAAGATGGGAATCTTTCGACAGAAATGCCCTGTTTTGAAAGATCCTGTAAACCTCAATGAGGTTTCTGTCTTTCTGTCAAAAGATCCCCGTCTTGACTTTTTTCCCCCGAAAAGTCGCTTTTCGAAAAAAAAAGCCGCAGCCGCCATTATGTAAATGAAACACGGGACATTCAAATCCCGGCTTCATTTACAATTTCGATGTGTCTAAATCACATCCCTTTCTCCAAAAAGGGATGTAGTTTAGACATACCCTAGGGCAAGTTCTGCAGGCAGCAGTAGGTGTGACACCAGCGTGGAACAGACAATCGGACAGCCCTGGGAGTCACTGAGGAAAAAGCAGCCTCCTATCTTACTTCGGATTTGAAGCTCTAAACAAGATCACTGAGACCAACGCTGATGGGAAAGATTTTCAAATGGAGCTCAGCCCCCAGCTCCTGCGGATGGGAGTTAGCTGAATATCGTCCCTTTGACAACAACACCCCCTACTCCTGGATACTGAGGATCCCAACGACACAGAATGTGGCAGGGTGCTTTATGGGCAAAAGTAGCAATAAATAAATAAACGCAGCGGACGGGACCCCTCTGACTTGCCCCCTTCTGCGTTCCTTTCCCCATTGGTCTCCTAAAATCTAGGGATGCAGCCGGCCCGTGAGCAGAGGCCCAGCATGAGCTGTGTGTGCTAGGACACATTTGCAGGATGTCCCCGGCGCCCAGGCCTCCAGCTGGCCCTACTGCACACAGACGCATGCTGCTCCCAGCTGGGCTCCCGAGCAAGCGCATCTGCCTCTGGCGTAACTCTCCTGCCTGCAGGTCGAGTGGGAAATGGGGTGAGTCTACATGCAGCAGAGCCTGGGGCTGCCCTGGTGTGTCCCGGGAGAACTGGTTCTCCCCACGCTGTGCAGAGAGCTCTTCCCAAAAGGGCCAGCACAGGACTTGCAGGACAGCGCGACCCAGGGCGGCCCATTGCTGTCGGGAGGCCCATTGCTCTCCCCTTAAGGGCCACCCCCTGAGTTCTGCCTTAGAGAGCTTTAGCTCCTGAGGAGACGGCCCAAGCCAGCGTGGCTCTCTTCTACCGCTTGCACAGGCCCGATACCGCCCAGCGCTTGGTCCCACTCAGCCCAGCAGGGGGTGGCGCCAGACACGCCTCCCAGCGGCTGCTCCCAGCGCTTGGTCCCACTCAGCCCAGCAGGGGGTGGCGCCAGACACGCCTCCCAGCGGCTGCTCCCAGCGCTTGGTCCCACTCAGCCCAGCAGGGGGTGGCGCCAGACACGCCTCCCAGCGGCTGCTCCCAGCGCTTGGTCCCACTCAGCCCAGCAGGGGGTGGCGCCAGACACGCCTCCCAGCGGCTGCTCCCAGCGCTTGGTCCCACTCAGCCCAGCAGGGGGTGGCGCCAGACACGCCTCCCAGCGGCTGCTCCCAGCGCTTGGTCCCACTCAGCCCAGCAGGGGGTGGCGCCAGACACGCCTCCCAGCGGCTGCTCCCAGCGCTTGGTCCCACTCAGCCCAGCAGGGGGTGGCGCCAGACACGCCTCCCAGCGGCTGCTCCCAGCGCTTGGTCCCACTCAGCCCAGCAGGGGGTGGCGCCAGACACGCCTCCCAGGGGGGAAGGGGGGTGTCACTTGAAAACCAGACAGAAAATGCGCATGAAGGACAGACGCGGCCTCCCCCCCTCGCTTTTGCAGGTGGTAGGTCCCGGGTTCTCAGAGGTGCTGCCTTCCCTCTGCGTTTCCCAGAGCAGGTGGCATTGCCCCGGCCGCGCATGGGGAAGGCAGTGGGCCTCTGACCATTGGTTTCAGTGGGAGCAGAGGCAGGTGGCCCAAATACCCCCCCAACGTGATCCAAATGGCACGTCCTGCTCCTCAGCAGGGGGTTGAAGGGAGCCTAAGAATCTGCTGCAGCTCCCTGTGGCGAATGCTCCTTGTCTGAGCAAGGGGTTTGTCTCGGGCGCTTCGAGCCCTGCCAGCCGAGCGCCCCACTCCGCCCCAGGGGAGGCAGCGCCAGACTGAGGCTAGAATATACTCGGGGGACCGAGTCCGCGGGCGAATGCACACTGGCCCCGGGCTGCTCCTGCGTGGCCAGGCACTGCCGATGGAGCGGGAGGGGCCCGACGGGTGCTCTGCCCCCCGCGTGTCAGCAGGTTTCTGTGCAAATGCGAGGGGGCCGTCGTGCCGGGGCGTCTGCGCACGTGGCTGGGGCCTCCACCTTTAAAAACATCGCCCTCGGTGTTGGTTTGGGGCCGGAGGTGCTTTCCGACAGCCTCTGACAGCGAGCAGGGGGCGTCCGTGGTGCCCCACAAAGAGGAAAGAACAGCGCTGGCACCCTCCTGCTCCAGACGGGGCCCTCGGGTCCTTCCCATCCTCACCCCCAGGTGTAAGGCACTCTCGGAAGAAAGCTCACAGCAGCACGTTAGCCCTCCCCCATCCATCGGGCTCCTTTGGATAGCGTACCGCAGGGCCCAACGACAACTGGGAACGGTCAGGGCAACCCCAAGGCAGCCCAATGCTAGGCTAGCCCAGCCCTTCCAGCTGGCGGGGATAATTCACTGCACTGCCGGGAAGAGGGACTCAGAGCCGAGAGCCGCGTCTGTCCAATGCGGCTACCTCCTGGGCCTGTTTTCCACTCACCCCCGCAAGGACAGGCCTCTCTATGAGGGTTCTAGCCAGCTGCCTCCAAAGCTTTAATGTGCACGTCCCTACTGGGCCACCACACACCCACAGGCCCCTGCTCTGCATCCCGGCCCAGCCAGCCCTGCTCAGAGACCCCCTGGAGGGGATCTGTACCCTGTACCCGCGCCCACCAGGGCTTCTCCCCTTCATCCACTCAGCTGAAAGACTGACAGGCCCACAGCTGAAATAAATTACGTCCCCTGACGCCAGAGGAGACGGCCCCGGGCTCTCCCACAGCCCTGAGTGGGGTCCCCGTGTTCTACAGCTGAGATGTCTTCGATGCAGGGAAGGAGGAGGATGGTCCCGCTAGCTCTTCTCCAATCTACCGTCGCTGGTTAGCGCACGCCCAGCCCAGCCGGCGGCGCCCACTTCCGCACTCCTCTGTTCTGTTAGGGATGGGGGGTGGAGAGGGACAGAGAGTTAGTTGCCTGGTGGCCAGAGTGCAGCCTCTTCTAGGGGCACACGTTGGACTTTACCCCTTCGCATTCCCTCTAGGGCTCTAGCCTCAGCCCCACCAGCACTCAGCCGTACTCCAGGGAACGGGGCGAACGGAGAGCGTCCGCTGGACCGATACAAATTCCACAGTCAAAACCGATCTGGATCAGAAAGCAAAGCAAAAGGGTCCAGATGCCGGTAGGCTGCCCCCTGGCTCCATGGTGTCCTAACTCGTCTTCGAAAACAGCCGGCCCCAGTTAGGTCAGTTAGTACATTATAAACACTGTTCTGGTTTTAAAGTGACAACACTGTTGCTAGTCTCGAGGAGGTGCAGCCTTTCCTTGTTGGTGCGCGGGAGCAGATACTGGCATGAAATGGGCCTCGCCGTCTCTTCTTCTCTGTCAGTGCTTGTCCTGGAAGAAATGAGCCTGGGTTATGAAAACAGGGGCCCTCGCCATGGCTGTGGGGACAAGGCGGATCTAAGTTACAGGACCCACTGGCTAAGTCTCCGAAGAAACCAGCAAACTTCATAGAGCCACACAGGTAAGGGATCCCCGGATCAGCGAGTCTGACTGTGTCCATCACAAGCCACCAGCCCGCCCCCCCCAGCACCCGCACACTAACCCAACACCTGAAAGGACACCGCAGTATTCCGGCCCAGGGGAGACTTGACCATTGTGCGTCACAGGCAAAGACTGGGGGGCGGGGGCAAGCCCGCCCCCCCCAGCTCCTGCACACTAACCCAACACCTGAAAGGACACCGCAGTATTCCGGCCCAGGGGAGACTTGACCATTGTGCGTCACAGGCAAAGACTGGGGGGCGGGGGCAAAGGGGAACAGAGGTGCAAAGACAGGGAAATGGTTAAACAAGAAAACCCCACGTCCACCCATGCTGCAGAGGATGGTGACACCACCCACCCTGCCAATCGGACTCCGGGGAAAATTCCTGCCTCTCCCCCGCCCCTAGACCCTGAGCAAGAATCAGCCAGTGAGGCATCTGGGAGAGAAAATCCTTGGTGCTATCTCAGGACTTCGGTCCAGCCACGGCCGCCCCGATGCTTCAGGAATCTAACGAGGGGAGCGGGGCCATTTTTCTGCAAACACAGAAAATCTAAAACCCCAGGAAAATGGCCAGGCAAGGTACCGGGAACTCACTCACACTGAGCCATGCGACCAGTGAGAAGATACATGTCTGGGACAATGGCCCTTCTCCCTAGGCTAGCGGTGGGCAAGAATTCTTTGCTGGGGGCCAGTGCAGACGTTTTTGAAGTGGCCCCGGGCTGCACCGGAAGGGGCGGGGCCAGGATACTTCCCTGCTTTCCCATGATTGCTCTTGGGGTGGCGGAGCGCATGAAGTCTTTCAGAGGCTCTCCCTGGGCGCCTATGCCCCCGACGGTGGGAGGAGACTTCACGTGCTCCCCCTTCAGTCTCCAGGCCAATCAGAGCTTGGGGGTGGGGGAGCACGCGAAGTCTCCTCCCTCCCAGACGCGCCGCACGCTCCTTGGAGGGGGCGGAAGAAACGTTGTGTGTTCCCCCCCTGCCCTCCGGCCCTAATTGGCCTGGGGCTTAGGGAGGGGCACGGCCTCCGGCGGCCAGATCCAGCCCATGGAGGGCCCCCCCGTGGGCACGTAAAAGTAAGCTCCTCCATCATGGTTCATACAGTGAAATACACAAGGGAGAAAGCCCAGATCTGAGGAGCTAAGGAAGGTTCTAACTCGGGCCGGCCTGGGAGAACGGTCCAGCAGGGACGATGCGAATGGACCGGAACGTCTTAGCTGCAGCAGGTCCAAGGCACCAGTGGGCACACTGCCAATTTCTGTGCCTGGTTAGGTTTGTAAGCTCCTCCATCATGGTTCATACAGTGAAATACACAAGGGAGAAAGCCCAGATCTGAGGAGCTAAGGAAGGTTCTAACTCGGGCCGGCCTGGGAGAACGGTCCAGCAGGGACGATGCGAATGGACCGGAACGTCTTAGCTGCAGCAGGTCCAAGGCACCAGTGGGCACACTGCCAATTTCTGTGCCTGGTTAGGTTTTTAAGCGCAAGCTCTAGGGCCCAGCAGCTGAAATCTGCACTGTCAGGCCAGTCCCAGTTGCCCTTGCAGCGGCTCCAGGGAATTGGCCCCAGTGCCTTCGGGAGGGGGTGCTACACAAAGCCCATTGTCCTAGGTCAGAGCCTCATTTGAGGGGACGACCCCCAGTCTGAGACGTGCCACGGGCACAGCGGAGACCCCGCGGCCGAGTCCAAGAGCTCAGGCTTGTATAACCCACCTCTTGCTTGTGGGATAGATCCTGTTGATGGATCCCGTTCGCAGATCCCGAGTTTCCAATGGTCTGCAAGAGAACAGATGAGACTTGGTTGAAGATGGGCACTGATAAAAAGCAGCAAACCCTGCCTCCCCCCCTGACATCTGAGGGGAGGACTAAGCACCCTCTGGACAGATCTGACATCGACTGCTGTGTGCTGGGAAATTGGAATTTAACCATCCCCTAGCACTCTTGGCAACGATTTTTAACTTCCGCCTCCTGGTCAGACTCCCGGGGGTAACTGTATACGCCCTGCTGAATCGGCGAAGCGACTTGAGTTCTCCGGCATGCCACGCACTACAGCAACATGGCCGGCTCCCAGGAGATGCCGCAGCCAGACGGAAGAGCCCTTCGCTTTAAAAACAGCCCAGTGAAAGGTTGATCGTGGCTGCGCAGCAGTGAGAACGGGTTGCTTATCCTTCGCAAGTACAAGACACGCTGCAGGCGAGCAGGGCTGGGAGCAGCCCGACATGGCCCGCGATGGCCCGCCAGCTTTCGTTCAGAGTCCTTGGCTACTCTGGCAAGACGGGCCGCTGTCAATTCCCCACCCGTGCATTGCTGAGGACGGGGGGATAGTGGAGGCAGAGCTCTGGAGCTTTAACTCACACAGCATTTACCCTGCAGCTACGGCTTCCCCTCTTGCTACACTGGTCGCGGACCAGGGCTCCTGAGCAGGCATAGCCAGAGAGAAGACAAAGGCCTGGCTGAGTTTTGGAAGCTTCTGATCCTAGAAATTCAGGCGGAGCCTTTCAAAGGAAGCGATCTGTCCGGCACGCGCTCCCCGCTGGACTCGATATTGCTTCTTGCCTGGCAAACGATCCCTCTGGAGTAATGTCCCCGGTCGCTTTGCCCTGCCTCTCCAGCTCTCTGCAATACAGTAAATCCCCCAGTCCCTGCGCCTTGAGTGGCAGGGGCAGCCACTTGACCTTGCGAGGACAAGGGCACTGGGAGCAAACGAGCTGGGAGGTCATTTGCTAGCAGCGAAATAAAACGATCGCTATGAATTCTTGGAGAACAAGCCTGAGTGGCAAACACTTGTCAGTTCCGGCCAAGCTCTGAGTGCAGGGTCTCCAGAGACAAGCGGCACGTGCGGTTGGTTTTTTTTTTTTTTAATTATCACAGGCTAATACCGAGCTGTCGTCATGGCCACAGCAACAACCAAGTGCCAATTACTCGACAATGAGATGGAGACGGTGCTGTTACACCGCACCTCCTGCAGCTCCCTGTCTAACAGCCAGGCCAGCTGGGCGCGGCCAGGGAGACGGGAGCGCTCGGCCGATAAGCCCGCAAAGGGAAAGCAGCGGCCTCGTGTGGCCATGGGCGATTTCCTCCTCTAGAGGGCTGCAAAGCCAAGGCTGCCCTGCTGAGAGCAGGCGGGAACCTTTCTTGGGTCGAGGGGCAGGGCTGGCCTTACCATGGGGCGAACTGAGGCGCTCGCCTCAGGTGCCAGAGTGCGGGGGGCGCCACTAGGACCCCGAGGGTAGAAAATTGGGTCTGCTGCTGGTGCATAGGTAGGTAGCAGAGCAGGGCCATGGGAGGAGTAGAACAGGAAGAAGGCAGAATTGAGACCTTTCAAAGTTTTGGCCCAAGCAAGGGGGCATCATTTTAGCGCCCTGCCTCAGGTGCCAAAATGTTGTGGGCTGGCCCTGGCCGGGGGGCTGCTAACTCGCAGAAAAATCAGTCGGGGGCCGCACACAAGTGAGAAGAAAAAAAAAACCCCTCACTGACGTGGCCCCCAACTGAGGAGAAAGACGCTCCCCACGTTCCCCTCGCACACCAGAGCCTGGGGGGCCCAGCCTAGTAGATTGTGTGCGCCACGGCGAGGGAGCTGGAGAGCCAGTGCGAGCTCCTCAATGCTGGGCGGCCGCCCGAGCCTTGGGGGCTGGATCCAGACAAGCCAGGGGCCGCATCCAGCCCCAGGCCGACTCAGGGGACAGGGGCCGTGTCCTGACCCCACTGCACACTCCCCGCGTGACCCTGGACAAGCCAGACAGGCCCGGGTTTGTAGTGCACTGAGGGGTAAGCTGCGCTCTGTCTCGCACCATCTCATGCGGGAGCTTACGTCTCGTTGCCACAAGGGATTTAGGCAGGAAGGACTCTAACTTCTAGCTCAGGGGGGTTCTGGCCCCTACGTGCCTTCCTCCCTTCTGCAAATAAGACGTAGGCTCCCAAATCAGGCAGGCGCCACAATGCTGGGGGCAGCGATGCCTAACCACCTCGAAAGGCCTGGCCCTTTGCCGCTCTGTGCTACAGTAACACACACAAACAACATGGAGGAAAGAACAAAAATTGTGAGACGACCGTGGGAAGTTGGCCAGAGAGAAATGCTTCCATGAAAAAGAGAGAGGGGTTTGCCTGTGTCGCCAGGCAGGAACGGCAGAGGTATTGCCTTCCTCTAGAAAAACTACACAGGAGAAGGGAAAGCGCAAGGGAAGATCCCTGAGCACAAGGGGAACACACCCACCATTGCCCAGCAGGTTGGACCTCCCTGGGCTGGCACCCTCAGGACCTTACTGTTCCCAGATGAGGGATTTTGCCGGACCATAGGCGGTCTTTTCTGGCCCCACTGCTACCAGCCCCACCTCCTGCCCCGCCTTCCAGCAGGCTTCCTGGCTCTCCTCACAGCCCAGCTGAGCTGTGCACTTTCTCTCCACCCCCCAGCCAGCTGACCTCATTGTCCCCCACCCCTATGGGACTCCCTGATCCTGGAACATGTGGCTGGACCAGAGAGTTCCAGTTTAGAGAGCTGCAAACCGCTGTTCCAGATACATTTTCGTTTGAGGCAGTGCTCACAAGGGAAGGGACGTGCCTGTGGAGACGCCGACAGGACCGCATCACGTTTTGGATGACAACAAAGCTCTCTCCGCTACGACCGCTGTGGCGCGCGGTACAGAATGAAAACGCCCCTCGCTCGCTCTCACACGGAACAGGTGGCTGCTTTCGCCACACTTCTGTGCGCAGAGGAGTTATGTACCGCAAGCCATGCACACTCCTCTGGTCTTCAGGCGCCATCTTTTTATCGCATGTACAGCGCCTGGCGCGATGGAGCATAGGTCTCTGATTGGGGTCACTGGGTGCTACTGCAACACAGAGGGGTTACGTCTACACTGTCATGAATTTCCGGAAATGCTTAAAACGGAACAGTTTTCCATTATAAGTATTTCCAATCTAGACACGCTTTTCTGCAAAAAAGCCCCGATCGTCATTTTTGCGATCAGGGCTTTTTTGCGGAAAAGACTACTGGGCTGTCTACATTGGCCCTTTTCCGGAACAGTTTTTCCGGAAAAGGACTTTTGCCCGAACGGGAGCAGCATAGTATTTCTGGAAAAGCAGCTGATTTCTTACAGTAGATCGTCAGTGCTTTTCCGGAAATTCAAGGGGCCAGTGTAGACAGCTGGCAAGTTATTCCGGAAAAGCGACTGCTTTTCCGGAATAAGTGGCCCAGTGGAGACACAGCCATAGTGAACCGTTCCTCTTCGGCCCCATTTTGCAGCAGACTTTATGGAGTTCTGCACTTGGGGAGAGTAGCCACACATCCAGTGATGCAGACTGCTTACCATATAGCAGGGGTGGGGAACCTATTTTGGGGTGGGGGCTGCTGACCCCCAGAAAAGTCAGCTGGGAGCCACACAAAAGTGAGAGGAAAAAAAACCCAACTGAGAAGCAGAAAGACACTCCTCACATGCCCCTCACACACCAGAGCTTAGGGAGCCCAGGTTAGTAGATTTAATGGGTCCCCCTATGCTCTGGGATGGGGCCAAAAATGAGGGGTTCAGTGTGGGGGAGGGGACTGCTCGGAAGCAGGCTTGGGGTGTGGAATCTGGATGGGAAGGAGGGTGCGGGAGTGGGTTGGTGTGTCTGGGAGGGTGCAGGAACAGTATAGGAGTAGTAGGGGGCAGGAATGGGGGTGCAGCATCTGGGTGGGAGGGTGTCCAGGTCCTTGATGCGGGTGGGGGGCCTCGGGGCCAGACCCAGGCAATCTGGGGCCCACATCTGGCCCCCAGACCATAGGTTCCCCACCTCTGCCATAAAACATCTGGATCTGTAACAGAGTTGCATGGCAGAGTTAAAATAGCCATTATGCACAGAGGCGGTTTAAGTGACATCCTGCAGCATTAAGTATCCTTCTGAATGTGCGTTATTAGAAGCTGGCACTTGCAGTAAGAGATGAATGTGTTTAGAAGGTAGACAAGGAAACTCCCAACCAAAGGAACACATGCAAGGCGTAAAACTGCCAGGCCTCTGAGAGATGCAAACAGATCGTGGACTAGAGAATGAAGGAGCTTAATGGAAGTAAGAGGGCACTGCCACAGAAGAAGCTACCAGGAACAATCAAGATTCATTGCGGGTAGGTGACAGAAAAGGCTGAGCAGGCCGAGATAAATTGAAGTGATTCCCAACCTCTGCTTCCCCAGCAGAAGACGCAGGACAGACGCTGGAAGGAATTCGAAATTTCCCAGGGGAGGCAAAAGAAGTCAGAGAGGAAACAGGAAGGCTTTTGTAGCAGGTGTTTGGAGACAGGCTTGTCTGGCATCCAACCAAACCCGAGCCAGGCACAGTCCCAGAATACGGAGGGAGCTGGCAAGAGAGGTGGGAAAACCTGTCCCAGAGGGATCTCTACTGAAGCGCTTGCAAACTGAAGGAGCACGTGCTGATGGGCAGCAGGGAAAGCGGGTTCATAGAATCATAGAGCTGGAAGAGACCACAGGAGTCATCAAGTCCAGCCCCCTGCCCAAGGCAGGACCAACCCCAACTAAATCAACCCAGCCAGGGCTTTGTCAAGCCAAGACTTAAAAACCTCTAGGGATGGAGATTCCACCAGCTCCCTAGGAAACCTATCCCAGGGCTTCCCCACCTCCCTAGTGAAATAGTTTTTCCTAATATCCAACCTAGACCTCCCCACTGTATCTTGAGACCATTGCTCCTTGTTCTGCATCTGTCACTACTGTGAACAGCCTCTCTCCATCCTCCTTGGAACCTCCCTTCAGGAAGTTGAAGGCTGCTATCAAATCCCCCCCCACTCTTCGCTTCTGCAGACTAAACAAACCCAAATCCCTCAGCCTCTCCTCATAGGTCATGTGCTCCAGCCCCCTCATCATTTTGGTCGCCCTCCGCACACCTCCAATATGTCCACATCCTTTCTATAGTGGAGAGGCCCAGAACTGGAGACAATACTCCAGATGTGGCCTCACCAGTGCCGAATAAAGGGGGACAATCACTTCTGACAAGAACAAAGAGGGATGGTGTAAAACTGTGTGTGTTTATTTATCTTCTTGAAAATGATGCACAAAAAGAATGAAAAACAGCCTTAGCTTATAATCCAGGGACAGGGCATTAATATAAACCAAGAGAAAAATAAAACCAAACAAAAAAATCTCTCCCCTTTAGGCCAAGTGAAAACCCAGCCAGGGCCACTGCTATAAAGAAAACATTTATTAAGCTGTTCCCAGTGTCTCTCTCCTCCACGGATACAGATAGAAAGGGCCTGGCTCCACTTTGAGCTGGGTACGTCTGTTCAAGGGAATCCTCACCTGAAGGAGACATACCCACACTCAGGGCCGGCCTGAGCCATTCGTGCACCCTAGGCCCAGGGAGTACGGTGCACGCACGGCCCTGCCCCTGGGGACCCCGGCAGTAGCCCAGTCAGCCCGTAGCTTGGGCCAGCTCTGCCCACACTGGCTCTGATCGAGCTAGGATAAGCGTGGTCACATCAGTGCATGCAGCAGCAGGGTCCAGCTATGTGTGTGCAATCCCATCTGAGAGCATAGGAACGTACACAGGCCAGGAGCCCCTTACTGGGTGAGGGAGGTAACCTAGTGACCGATGAAGTGGGAAAAGCTGAAGTGTTCAATGGTTTTTTTTCCTGTCTTCAGACAAGGTCAGCTCCCAGACCGCTGCACTAGGCAGCACTGTATGGGGAGGAGATGGGCAGCTCTCGGTGGAGAAAGAACAGGTTAAGAACTATGTAGAAAAGCTGGACAGACAAACCCACGGGGCCGGAATCAATGCCTCTGAGGGTGCTGAGGGAGTTGGCTGATGTGATTGCAGAACCATCAGCCATTATCTTTGAAAACTCGTGGTAATTGGGGGAGGTCCAGGAAATTGGTAAAAGGCAAATGTAGTGCCCATCTTTAAAATGGAAAGGAGAATCCAGGGAACTACAGACCGGTCAGCCTCACCTCAACCCCTGCAAAAAAGTCAGAGGGGATCCTCAAGGAATCCATTTTGAAACACTTGGAGGAAAGGAAAGGGATCAGGAACAGTCAGCATGAATTCAGCAAGGACAAGTCCTGCCTGACCAACCTGATTGCCTTCTATGATGAGGTAACAGGCTCTGCAAACAAGGGGAAAGTGGTGAACGTGACGCACCTTAACATTAGCAAAACTTTTGACACAAGCTCCCACAGTATTCTAGCCCGAAGAAGTATGGCTTGAATGAATGGACTATAAGGCAGGTAGAAAAGATCATCCGATAGGTAGTGATCAGCAGCTCGATGTCTAGTTGGCAGCGGGGGTAACCTAGACAAACTGGAGGACTGGACCAAAAGAAATCTGATGAGGTTCAACAAGGAGAAGTGCAGAGTCCTGAACTTTGGACAGAAGAATCCCAAGCATTGCTACAGACTGGGGACCGACTGGCTAAGCAGCAGTTCGGCAGAAAAAGACCTGGGGATTACGGTGGATGAGAAGCTGGATATGAGTCAACAGTGTGCCCTTGCAGCCAAGAAGGTAATGGTGTATTAGGGTGCATTAAGAGGAGTATTGCCCGCAGATATAGGAAAGTGATTATTCTCCTTTACTCAGCATTGGTGTGGCCACGTCTGGAGTATTGCATCCAATTCTGGGCTCCACCATTACAGAAAGGATGTGGACACATTGGAAGGAGTCCAGCAGAGGGCAATGAAAATGATTAGGGAGCTGGAGCGCATGACTACGAGGAGAGGCTGAGAGATTTGGGCTGGTTTAGTTTGCAGAAGAGAAGAGTGAGGGGGGATTTGATTGCAGCCTACAACTACCTGAAGGTAGGTTTAAAGAGGAAGGAGCGAAGTGTTCTCAATGGTGACAGATGGAGGTCTAGGCTGGATATTAGGAAAAACTATTTCCCTAGGAAGGTGGTGAAGCTCTGGGATGGGTTCCCTAGGGAGGTGGTTTAATCTCCATCCCTAGAGGTTTTTAAGTCTCGGCTTGACAAAGTCCTGGCTGGGTTGATTTAGTTGGGATGGGTCCTGCTTTTTTAGCAGGGGGCTGGACTCAATGACCTCCTGAGGTCTCTTCCGACCTTTTTTCCCTGGTGATTGTGTCGCCGTGGCTATGCTGCTATCAGAGCTAGCCTGGATACATCAACACAAGATGGAAATTACCCCTGCAAGCCTGAAGCGTAGATGTACACACACACACACACACACACACACACACACACACACACACACACTCACTCCATTCTTTGCCCACGAACGCAACTCACTCCGGGGATGTCTGAAAATCATCCAGCAGCACGTTTACAGTGTAAGAAAGGAAATCAATGCTACGTACACATGAAATGAAGAGATACACATGACGTTTCCATCTCAATTGGTCGACTGTAACTACCCGCACTGGAATTTGGCGCGGGAAACAGGAACTAACATCTTGCGCTGGTGAAGGGTGCCGAAGGAGCCACACCAAGGCATGCAGTGGGTTTTAGATCACCTCTGAAAGGCAGAATCTCTTGGAAACACAGCCCCCTCCCTACCATTCTGCTTTGTTCCATCGGGGGAATCCCTACCCACCGTGCCGGTTGGGTGTTGGTTTTCCTTGGCCCCGTCAGAGCATTTGCACGGGGCAGGTGGCTGCGGCTAGCTGCCCAAGTGTGGGGGGATGCGCTACCTGTGTCTTCTCTGAAGAACTTCGCATGGCCTCCATGAGTTTCTCCATTTGCTGACCCTGATCGAGGGCGTGCCGCAGGACGTCCTCTGTGCTGACCAGTCGGTGCTGCAGCCGGAGAACCTCAGACTCTGACGAAGGGTCGATCAGGGAGAATCGCCTTTGATCTGTTACCGATTTCTCTTTATCCTTGGCATGTACACGGCCCAAAAAACAAAGAGGGGAGCAGGTTAGACTCTGGTAAAAACATAGACACTAGAGGCAGAGTACATCTGAGGGTGTCTAGTGCCAAATGCTGATTTCGAAAACAGATCAGAGCAGACTGAGTCTGGAGAGATCCAAGTATTAAATGTGACAAAGAGCTGCTCAGATTTGTTGCTAGCTGAATTCAGTTACATAAGTCTCCACATCTAGAGGTCGCTGCAGTCTATAGGAATCACACAGAGGCAGCTCTAGATCTGAAGAAATCATTATCTTAATCATTACTTCTTCAATCCCCGTATCAAGCAACAAACAACAGGAGGAAACAGGAAGCTTTGTACTTTCTTCCTTTTCTTCTCTTATTCTTTTATTTTAGGAAAGCTGACATCTTGCAAGAAATATATAAAACCAAATTACTCCCGTTATTGCTTGAGATACAAAGAAAGTATTGCCAATTTTTTAACAGTCCCTTGAAAAAGCACACACAGCCAGAGAGATCTTAATTACGCAGATTACGTTTTTATACAGTACCATAAGCATGCATGCCATTTTACCCTTTTAGAATAAGACAGCTCTCACAATTTTATTACAAGTCTCAAGGTATTTGGTGTTTTTCTTAAAGCCCCTGCTCCTGGAGGCAAGTGATCATGAACATCTCAATTTTCATGAAAACCAGACAGTTTCTAGTTGTTGCAAAGAAAAGAAAAAAAAAAGACGACCCAGGAGCATTCTAAAGGCTCAGGGAAAAAAGCAAATTAAAAAAAAAATTCAAGGTTTTTTGAATTTTCAGGTCTTGATTTACAATTTTTTTTTTTAACATCTGGGGTTGGCAATCCAGACAAAATGAGAATCCCATCTTGAATAGAAATGTAGAGCTCTCTGTAAGTATAGGTGAAGGCACATATCTAAAAAAAGGGGAAGGCAAATGTTGATGAAGGACAGAGATCTAACACACATCCCCCATTCCGGTCCACTTCACCTAGGTGTGTGCTAAACTATGCCCCACCTGACATCCATTTGTGAGATGGTGCCTCTGTCCAAGACACAACATATGATGAATCAGAAATGTGTGTGGGAAGGAAGGCTTGTCATAATCCATATTTTGACATTTCACAATAAAATGACAGTGGCTGCTCTCCAGCAAGATACTTTTGCAAAGATTTGCTATCAGCAGACAGCTCTTTCCACTGGCAACCAGGCCTTGAACTAGACAAAAGATTGGAAATGACCAGTCATTTCCAATTCTCCACTGTTAGGCACCCAATCCGAGATCCCTCACGGAGGCCGGATTTTCAGAGAATTCCGAATGCTCTCCCTCTGAAGGTTAGCACTCTTGAGGGCGTATTAAATCGAGTGTCTTAAATGGGGCATGAAAAAATGAAGGCATTCAAAAGACACTGAGCCATCGAGAATATTGAGGTTCTGGTGTTTCCCTGTGGGCCCCGCCCTTAGAGATGGGGGTGCATTGCAGCTCCCAGGAACACAGCCAAGGGTGTTGCAGACAGACTGGGTTCATATACACAGGACACCAAAGGAAGTCCCAGTGTAACTTGTGGCATGACAGCAACATTCCAAAAATTATGGCCAATTCCAATATACCAAAGGAATCCCCAGGGTGTGAGAATTCTTCCCACGTTTGTTTGTTCTGCCACAAACATGTACCCCCCCAAACACAGGAGCTAGGTGAATCCCTCCCAAACAACCAGCAAGGAGGGGTGCACCTTGCTCTCACCAGCACTATCAGCTTTTCTCTCAGCCCTTTGATGTCGTCTTTGAGTTTCTGTTCTTTCTGCCGCCACTCTGCTTTGTGCACCTCCCGGCTCAGGTCCCGCTCTGGCCCCGGCGAGTGTCGGTTTGCTTCCAGTAGCAAAGCTCGCAGCTCATTCAGGCTCCTGGGGAGGGATGGAAAGAGCCTCGCAAAGAGGAACGTTTATTCGGTCTTCTTCTGGGCGCAGCCCGGGGGAGCTCACATTTTGCAACGTCCCTCAGCTTTGCACGAGGTGGGGTGTGAGAGAGGGGCCAAGCCACGAACCTTGTGTCCAAACGCCGTGGAAACACGGGGAAAATTCACATCAGCACCCTCAGCTTTGCGGCTGGACCCCACCGTTAGGACAGGTTTTCAAAAGAGCGCAACATGGCAGCGGGTGTGCTGGAGGGAGTGAGGCTTTGCCTTCCCAAAACACCAGCCTGTCTGTAGGTCTACTGGGGGCCGAGTGCGGCTGCCCCCGGTGCCTGCGCTCCCGGCTGGGGAGGCGGTGGCTACACATCTGCCCTTCCTGGTGCTCTGGGGCCGGGGAGGCTGGGGATGCGGGCTGTCCACCCATCCTCCTTCCCTCCCCTCCCTGTGGTGGGAGTGGGGGCAGGGAGGCAGCTTGGCTCTAGGGGGCGGGGCCTCATCAGAAGGGGCGGGGCTGGGTGCTTGCCCAGCCCTACCTTCGCCGACTGCCCATGGAGCTCAACATCCAAAAGGCCAATATTTTTTAAAAATGTTGCCCGCTTATTTCAGTGCCTCCATGGCAGCTGAGCTGCGCCTTGAAATCCTGGGATAGTGGTGGGAGCTGAATGCTCTGGCTAATCCAGCCTTTGAAACACTAACCTGGCCCCCAACATCCTAATAAGCCAGAGGCTGGGAAAGTTGAAATCTGGGTTTTAATCATTCCGCTCATCTTTTTGGTGCACGGAATCGCGGTACTCCAATAGGGCCACTTCCAGAGTGGGCTTGACAAATGCTTGGGCCCTTCAGCCTCTTTAGTTAGCTTCTAAAAGACGAACCTTTCCTTTTTGAGTAGCTCCTGGCTAATCAGGACCAACTGGCCTGACGCATCGTGGGTTTTCCTGGACAAGGTCTCCAGCTCCGCTTCCAACCGCTTCTTTTCCTTCAGCAGAGACTCTGCCTTCTTCTCTCCAGCTTTGCATTTACTTTCCAATGCTAAGGGAAGAATAAAAGGGGAGGAAAAAGTCTACTAGCCCCTACCGATGTGCCTTTTATGGGTGACTTCATTTCTCAATTCCATTGCCACTCCTTGCAACATGGGGCTAGCAAGTTATGCCTAGTTAGTGATCTGCAGCCGCCTCTGCAGTCTATGAGAGATCAGCAGGTGCCACCCTCTGAACGGAGATTCCAGAACTGATAAACCCAGCTGCATTGACATCTGTGCCCCTCGTGGCCTCACGGTTTGTTAAGATTATTGGACCAGATTCTCGTCCTGTAAGATACAAATAACTGCAATGGGATTCGCTTGCATCTATCTGGGGCAGAACTGGGCCCACTGCATTAAGAACAAACGGGCTAAGCACAATCCTCTTACACATAGAATCATAGGACTGGAAGGGACCTCGAGAGGTCATCGAGTCCAGCCCCTCGCCCTCAAGGCAGGACCAAGCTCCGTCTACACCATCCCTGACAGATGTCTAACCTGTTCTTACATATCTCCAGAGAGGGAGATTCCACCACCTCCCTTGGCAATTTATTCCAATATTTGACCACCCTGACAGTTAGGAATTTTTTCCTAATGTCCAATCTAAACCTCCCCTGCTGCACTTTAAGCCCATTACTCCTTGTCCTGTCCTCAGAAACCAAGAGGAACAAATTTTCTCCTTCCTCCTTGTGACACCCTTTTAGATATTTGAAAACCGCTATCATGTCCCCCCTTAATCTTCTTTTTTCCAAACTAAACAAGCCCAGTTCATGAAGCCTGGCTTCATAGGTCATGTTCTCTAAACCTTTAATCATTCTTGTCGCTCTTCTCTGTACCCTTTCCAATTTCTCCACATCTTTCTTGAAATGTGGCGCCCAGAACTGGACACAGTACTCCCGCTGAGGCCTAACTAGTGCAGAGTAGAGCGGCAGAATGACTTCACGAGTTTTGCTTACAACACACCTGTTGATACAACCTAGAATCATATTTGCTTTTTTTGCAACACTGTTGACTCATATTCAACTTGTGGTCCACTATGACCCCTAGATCCCTTTCCGCCATGCTCCTTCCTAGACAGTCGCTTCCCATCTTGTATGTATGGAACTGATTGTTCCTTCCTAAGTGGAGCACTTTGCATTTCTCTTTATTAAACCTCATCCTGTTTATCTCTGACCATTTCTCTAACTTGCTAAGGTCATTTTGAATTATGTCCCTATCCTCCAAAGAAGTCGCAACCCCACCCAGTTTGGTATCATCTGCAAACTTAATAAGCGTACTCTCTATCCCAATATCTACATCATTGATGAAGATATTGAACAGTACGGGTCCCAAAACAGACCCTTGCGGAACTCCACTTGTTATCCCTTTCCAGCAGGATTTAGCACCATTAACAACAACTCTCTGACTACGGTTATCCAGCCAATTATGCACCCACCTTATCGTGGCCCTATCTAAGTTATATTTGCCTAGTTTATCAATAAGAATATCATGCGAGACCGTATCAAATGCCTTACTAAAGTCTAGGTATATGACATCCACCGCTTCTCCCTTATCCACAAGGCTCGTTATCCTATGGGCAAGGGCATGTTCTAGGCACAACACCGCTAGGTTGCTTTAATGTATAAGCCCTCGGTTCTTCTCACAATGATGGAGGTACCAGTGACGTAGCCGTGGGTGGACCTGATTGGGCTGTGGCCCATCCACTTTCCATCCAGGTCCACGCACACTGGTTGGGCATGAGAGCTGACCCCGTTGTGCCTGGTGCTCCGGCCAGGGAACAGGGCTGGGGTGTACCCTGCCCACCTGAAATCAGGGCCCAGCCAATGGGTCCTTGTGGCTATGTCACCAGGAGGTACAAAACCACCACAATCTAGTTCCCACCAGTACTGGATAAGGGAAACTTACCACTTACTTGGGCCTTTTGGGTTTCAGTCTGGGAGACCAGGGACGACACCTCTTTATCTCTTTTACTCAGCTTATCTTGCAGATCTTTAGGTGAACAGAAGGGTACGGGGAGGGGTGAGAGAGAGAGGTAGTTTACATCCTGGTAACTGCTCTGCCTGCTCACACAGGGAAGGCCATCGGTGGTACAGAGACATTTAGAGCTCCATGTAGAGTCCTGCAAATCCTCATACATCCACGGGATGTGGATGCGGGTATCCGTGGCTCATTTTGGCAGATATGGATGCAGATACAAACTGTACATATCCACAGAGTTCTAGTTCCACGGCCCAAATTGGAGACAGATGCAAACATAGAAGTATCCACTAGGGATGTGAAAGGTTAACCTGTTAGCCGGTAACCCTTACCAGGTGGTGCGTGCCAGTAACGGGTTAACAGGCAGCCCCGCAGGGCCGGTGGCAATAACATTTAACTGATTAAACAGGATTTTACATCCCTAGCATCCACCCTCTCGAGAGTGGCCGAGATGGGTGGCACCAGCAGGGCTGTGTCTTGGAGCATCTCATCCCCATTGGACCTTAAGTGAAGCAGAGATGCCAGACACCAGAGGATGGGCTTAAACAGCAGCCGACAAGTGAAGGAAGGACGAATGAAACATGATGATAAAGCAAACAGAGGAGCCTTCCATACGATTCCATTTGTCACCAACCACCTTGGCAGGCAGGGGTGATGAAAAGAGCCAAGATAGACTCGGAGGTGGCCCCTGTACACAATCCAATCAAAGCCTTAGATTTGAAGTGCTGCAACATCCCGAATCGGAGACAGCTTTTTAATACACTTATGCGCAGGGCAGGAGATGGACTTTGCTGGGCCGTGTGTGTGTGTGGGGGGGGGGGGAGGGCCTTGGTTACTGGCTCCCTCAGAAGCCAACCCTTAGTGTTGATGGACCCCGTTCTGCCTCCCACAGCCAGATCTCCAAGGTGCCTGGTCCATGCCACACGAGGGCTCTGGCAGCAACTTTAAGGCCGGGGGCTCCAGCTGCTGCTGCAGTAGAAGTGATGGCAGCCAGGAACCCCAGGCCCTTTTAAATCGGCAACTGCCCCCTTTGCCCTCCCTGTCGGCGGTCCTGCTTAAGCATGGTTTGTTCTGAGCTTAGACTCAAGAGAATTTGCAGCCAAATACACATGCACTCACTGACCATCTTAGATCAGCTGCTGGTGGACACAGGGCAGGGACCAAACCTCGTGCTGGTGTCCTACCCTAGTTATCCAACTCTCAATCAAGTATCTGCTTGGGTATAACACACACGCCCACGTGATATTTGCAGGGCAGAGAAAAGGCGGCAGAATGAAAACTCGCGTGCGTGGGGTGAAGAGAACAGGGCATGAAAATATTTCAGTCTGAATCCACACGGTGCATGAAAGATGCTCCATGAACTAACCAGCGTTTGCGCTGCATGACACTCAAACCATGCACAGCAGCAGCAAGCTGCATCAGTTCAAACAAGGATGCCTCCACACAGTAGGGCATAAAGCATGGATCCAGGCCAAAGGTTTTCCAGACTCTGGAGTTGTTCAGATCCAGAGTTTGGCTCATTGCAGAGACGGAAACCACTGTGAAATTGTAGCTCCGAACCAAATCTGATCCAAAGTTCAAGTGTGTCCAGATCTAGGATTTCATTTCAGGCTTATATCTAATGTGTAGCAAGACGGAGGGAAAACTCCCAATTCTTCTACTCAACTGCAGCATGCATCCAGCATTCCCATTAATCCCTCTCTGACAGGACTGATTTTTGCTCTACGAGCCAGATTCGGCTGCTGTAAAAATCAGTGCCAGTCAATAGATCACTGCCCACTTTCACCCGCTGGGGTCCTGGCCCATATTGTAGGGGCGAGGCGAAGACTTTGGAAGAAGAGTCCTCCACTGTATTTGCTCAAACAGACTGGACAGCCACACAGGTGAAAAAGCCAGTCAACCAGTGCAACCTACACAAAAGCACCAAGATGACGTGAACTTTGCAAGCCCACTTCAGCTAACTCGTCCTAGCTAGGGCGGAAGAGTGAGGGACATAGCGCATCAGTCACTCTGACCAAGCAGCTGCAAGAGGAGCATGTCAGCAAAATGCATTACCTTCCATAGCCTGCTTCATCTTTATCTTCTCTTCTGAAATATCATTCGTTTCAATCATCTGAAATAAATGTAAAACACACATAGCTGCACATATGCGCCCACTAACTCTTCACTGTCATTCTTCCAGAGAATCAAACCACAGTCCGTTAATTTAAAACTCCAGCAGGAAGAATAAGGAACAGGATTGGCACTAACGTTCTTTGGTCTTCATATCTTACCAATCAGATTTACCCCCTTTTTCAAAAGAAATCTCACAGGTGATGTTTTTTTAAAAATAAAGTCATTTGAACAGCTAAGCAGTGAGGTGAGGAGCTGGCATTATCTTACTGGAAGGTTCAAATTTCACAGTGGATCAAAGCAAAGGCCCAGTTTCCATTTCTAGAGTATGCAAAAAAGAATCGTTAGGAATGGGATCAACCGTAAACTCTGGATGCAGGGGTCACACGCCCCAAAGCTAGAGGGCCGGGAGCTGATCTGGGGTTATGTTTGGGCCGTATCGGATAAGGCATTTTTTGGATTTTCATCATCAACTAGGAATTTGGGGTGTATCTGTTCTTGAAGCCTCAGCTTTAGACACCGTAAAGGGCTGAGGATTGAAGAACAGGTGCTCAGCTTCTTCAAGGGATGTCAAGTTGGATCCCTCCAAATTGCAAGTCCCTGAAATAAAGGCTGGTCCTCGGACTCCTTCTGGGTGTCTTTTGGTTTCACTCTAAGCTGGCATCAGAACTAATGATGGGATTTACAGCCGTGACTCCAGACACGCTACAGTCAACATGCAGAGTGCCTGATTCAGAGCAAAAAAGCAGCACACGCTTAAGTGTTTCTCTGAACTTAATGGGTAGCAGGTTTAAAACTAATAAAAGAAAGTTCTTCTTCACACTGCGTGTCATCAACCTGTGGAACTCCTTGCCAGAGAAGGCTGTGAAGGCTAGGACTATAACAGAGTTTAAAGAGAAGCTAGATAATTTCATGGACATTAGGTCCATAAAAGGCTATTAGCCAGGGGATAGAAATGGTGTCCCTGGCCTCTGTTTGTCAGAGCCTGGAGAAGGATGGCAGGAGACAAATCACTTGATCATTGTCTTCGGTCCACCCTCTCTGGGGCACCTGGCGCTGGCCACTGTCGGCAGACAGGATACTGGGCTAGATGGACCTTTGGTCTGACCCAGTACGACCGTTCTTATGAACTGCAGCCTCAGCCCTTTAGCTTTTTCACAATTAATTCCAGACTTGTATCATGTGGACCTTTCTCTCAGACAGGGCGATGGGGGGCAGCCATGTTTAATTTAGACCACTGTCAGCCCTTGCAAAGCACGAAGGGCTCCGATATTAATGCCACAGGCATTCGTCGGGACAAATCTTCCTGCCACCCACAGCAAGGGATCAGAGACGGTTTTAAAGCAACAGCAGCTGTAGGAGAACATGAGATCGGTGGCCACAAACCAGACAAAACTGGATTCCCATAAGAAGGGCAACAAGTCAAAAGGTCACCGTGGAGTAGAATCCAGTCCCTTGGCTGCTCCCCATTTGGGTTTTTTTCATTTTTCCCCAGGGGCTGCCACGCTGTACCTGTCTCGGGGCCATGTTACTGTATGCTCACTATTGTCCCTTCACCATTTAACTACCATGACTCGATTCCTACCACTGGCCATAAGGGACAACTGCATGGATTAGCTACAGCCAAGGCCTCCATGCAGCAGCGCATCTTAACGCTGCTCAGCTTTAAGCACTTCTAGGTCCCCCCAGCTTCACCAAGATAGCTAAAAAACCAGAATTTTCCTCTTTCAATGGGAGTCTCCTGCTTTTGTTCATGCATTCATTCAAGCAACAACGCTGCATTTTCGTGGCCTTCATTTGCACCAGACAGTCAATACGATTGCTTTCTCTGACTCTTAGTTCTTTCACGACACTGAGCCCAATCGCATGCCTCAAACCCAATGGGAGTCTTTCCATTGACTTTAGTGGGTTCTGGATTGGACCTCTGGTTCTTTTTATTTACTCTTCTTTGGGTTTAGGATTGGATGTAGGTAGAAATTCTTTCACGTCCCCCTGGCATTTTCTACCAAGGAACTCACAGTGTATTTTCTCCTGAGTACAACGGTGCTGGGCCCCTGGTTCTATGGCTTTGGGTGCCACACTTTACCCTTTTGGACTTGTCTCCTCTGTACTTGGAATCCAGGCCTAACTAGAAAAGAGGGTGCCCAGTGGAAACCCCTTAAAATACCACTAATCAATGCTTAAAGAGTCTTCCTTCTCACGTTGATTCTTTCCTTTCTTTCACACCCAATACACCTGCTGCTTTACTAGTATTAAGCTGCTCCCCGGCAAACACAATTACAGCTGCTTAACTTTACAAGCGTGCAACCGATGGGACTAGTCCTGATGATAATATTAAATACACAGTAAATGTTTGCAGGATTGGGGCCTTCATTTGCAGCAGTTGGGTACCATTCAACTGCGTATTCACAAGCAAAGAATGCATAGTCCTAAATTCGCTTGTGGCTGTCTGTGTCCCAATGGGACAGGAGCTCTCTCTTGCTTTGAGTATTCTTTTCAGCTAGCGTCTGGGGTAAAGCGCAAGCACAGGAAGAGGATCCAAACATTTGGAGGCCCTGAAATGATTTTCCTATTCACAAGTGGTGTGAATAAGTCACAGAGCGATTCCTTTCTCCTTAGGTCATCTCATCGAGACGGGAGGGTACCATGAGACAGGCAGCAGGACATCACAACAAGCAGGCTCATATAATAAACTCGGAAGGAACAGATTCCTCCAGAGCTATGACCGTTATGACAGTTACTGCCTGTCTTTCAATCAGCACTGAGACACGGATGAGTCACCTTTAAGTCAGCCATATCCTCATGTGTGACACGTGCTTTGAGTGGCAGACTTCCCCTCCCCCACTGTTAGAGCATCCCCATCAGCTACCCCATTACACCCACCCTTATGAACACCCCTGTCAGGTAGGGACTTACCGATGCCCCGTCAGAAACGAAATGCACCTTCCCAACTTGATACAGCAGCTCTGTGGCAGAGCCAGCATAGATACACTGGCTACGTCTAAACTGCACGCCTTTTTCTACAGAGGCTTTGTCGACAGATACTGTTGACAAAGCCTCTAGATGCTCTTTTTCGACAGACTACGATCAGTACTGTCGACAAAGCAAGCCGCTTTTTCGAAAGAGAGTCTAGATGCTCTCTTTTGAAAAAGCACAGTTTGCGTGCAATAGCGCCTTTATTTGAAAGAGTACTTTCGAAAAAAGGCATTATTCCTCCTAAAATGAGGTTTACCGCTGTCAACAAAACTGCCGCGTTCTGTCGACTTGCTGTTGACAGAACGTGGCGGTAGTGTAGACGCAGGGTTTGGTTAGTCTAGTCACACCCACTATGTCCCAATTCTGTCTCCTGGCTTAACCACACAGCAGCCTGCCTCTCTCCTGGCTCCCACTGCCTTCCCTTGAGTGAAGGGTGCCCTTGGGTGAAGTCCTAGGGGAGGCAGTGGCCTTATCCCTTACCAGTTCTGTCTTTTCCCCTGCGCCATGGTCATGGTTCAGCCGTTCCGTAGCAGCGACACGTGCACGGAGCGCAGGAAGCGCCTCGGCATTAGCCACTCCAGCCCGCCAGCGCACGCCTCCTACTCCGGCTCCCTACACAGAGCGGTGCCCTTACGAGTGCCCTCACTTCCCTGAACTCGCACGGGACAGACCCCTCCACCCGGCGCAGGCAACCCCCCCTCCGTCCTCCCATGGGCTCGCCCAGCCACAGACGGGGACTGCTCAGAACAGCAGAGCAAGAGATGGATAAACGGGAACAAAAAATATCAGACGGCTTTAAAGCCAAGGAGCCCAAGCAAATGAGAATGGGCGGTGGGTGCGTTAGGCGGGGGAAGGCGTTGCCTGGCTCCGCCCACACTCCACCCCCAGAATGCTTGCTGTAGGCGTACTGGGGACGGAGTACTGCTGTCCCTAGCGCCTGCCCTCTCTGTGCTCTGGGCTGGGGAGGCTGGAGCTGTGCCCACTCCTCCATTCCCGTGCTCTGGGGCCAGGGAGGCAGGGGGCATGTGCCACTCGCCCTCCCCGTGGTGCTGGGGTTGAGGAGGCTGGGGATGAATGCTGCTTCATTGCTTGGCGGGGGGAACACGGCTTGGCTCCCATGGGGGGCCGGGCCTGAGCAGAGGGGGTGGGGCTGGGCAGAGGGGGAACCCACCACCCTTCACCCACCACCCATGCAAATGATACCAGGTTAGCCCTATGAGGAATACTAGGGAGAAAGAACAGACAGAACAGCCCAAACCCATACGTTGGCATGCTGAGAAGGATGCAGAGCCTCCATGGACTGCAGTTTGTTCTCTAGGACAAGCACTTTTTCCTGCAGTCTTTGGATCTCCTGTTTACTCTGGGCGTCTGTTTTCTGTAGCGTCTCATAGTCCAACATCTTCTTCTCCGCCAGAGAAATCTGCTCTTTCAAGAAAGCTATTGCTTGAGCCTGATCTTTGTATTCACTGTGTAGCTTCTCCAGCTCGTGCACTCTCAGTTCGGCATCTCGGCACTTGTCCTTCACGTCCTGAAGTTCTAGAAGGTGCTGGTTTGTTTTGGTTTCCAGCTGCATTTTCCAGTCGTTGTTGCTTTCTTCTACTTCATCGCTGGCCTCCTTCAGTTTCAGCCTCAGGCTTTCTTTCTCCTTTATGTGAACCGCGGTCTCGATATCATGCTTAGCTTTAAGGTTCTCCAGTTCAAGCTGGTGTTCCATCTTTATGCTCTCTACCACGGCCTTCAGCTCAACTATCTCCTTGTGCTGGGTGTCAGGGCCTGTATTCAGGGTGGCTTTGAGGTCTTCCAGAGATTTCTGGTGGTCAGAAGCCAAGGTGTCCAACTTGGATTTCCAGTTGTCCATCAGCCCCATGTTCTCATTGGTGGCTTGTTGAACTTTATGTTTCAGGTCAACAATTTCCTGGGAGTATTTTTCATTGAGGGCTTTCAGCTTCTCTATCTCCTGCTGGTACTTCTTCAGGGTCTTTTCATACTTCTCCTTCAGCTGGCTGCTCTCTTTTTGGTGCTCCTTGCTGGCAGACAGCAGCTGGTCTCGCAGGCGAAGTGCTTCGGTCTGGAGACCAACGCCATGGTCTGGGGTCTCGGCCTGGTTGGAGTTCCTTAAGCATTGTCTCAGCTCCTCCACCTCACTGCGTTGGAGACTCAACTCTTCCTCCAGCTGAAGGATTCTAGACTTCTCTGCTACCGTAGTCAACTGAAACAATAAAACAAAAGGACACAAAGTAAGTTCTCACCTTTCCTTGCTGCCTGCTTTTCATTAGTAGACATGTTCCCATGACAGCCAAACCCCAAGCACAGTAGTAGCCAAAGTTTCAAAAGAAACATATCCTCAATCCAGTTAGTTTTTGCACCAGGGTAATTACCAATACTTTCTTGCACCAAGGTCTTTATGTGGATTTTTAAGGCATGCTTCCAATTTGAACCATCGGGTTGCATCAGAAACAACATGCCTCTTTGGAATAACTGCTGTCATATTATCTATGAAAAGGTTACAAGGTTTATTAAAAATAATGTCCTAAAATACCATAATATTTCTGAACTGAGCTGCTTGCCAGGTGACTCGCTACACACGCAGGAACAGGACAGATATAAAATCAAGATAGTCCACATTAGGAATGTTCCTTTTGATTTTGCTCAGCTCTTGGGAGCCTACAGTGCCTTTACCAATGTGTGGTTTACCCTGGTGTAAAAGGAAGAGGAATTTCACACATGGAGTCATGTTAGAATTTATTAGCAAAGTAAAAAAGGAGGATGCTAGAAGATGTGAGATAATCAACTGCTGGCCATGGGTTACACTGCATGACAGGTGTTTGAGCTGCTTCTTAGCTTTCTGAGTGTAATCTTTCTAGCTTGATTTGACTGATGATCACAGTGAAGTCGTGGGTTGTGTGGGCACCTTTGGGGTCAGAACAACAGACCTGCTAAGACGAAATGTAAAAACAAAGGAAGAAGCAAAGCTACAACGTTTACTCCTTTCACGCCAACACGGAACTGACCCATTCGATTTCTTTGGTTGGTCAGACTTGGGAATCTGGATGCCCGAGCCCCACGTTTCATGGGAGTGGGGGCAGGGGAGCTCAAATCCCTTTCACCAGTTTGGAAGACTCCAAGCTGGGCTCGGGTGCTCTCTACAGATTCACAACTGACAAGTTGATGTCAGGGCCCACAGGCTCCCAGGCAGCCCTCACACCCTGGTCCCTCCTGGGCAGCCCACCCAAAACTACTGGACGTGAGGGGCGAGCAGAACTCCGCCCCCTCCCATGAGAATAGTGCCTGGAGATGACGATCGGCCTCCCCAGTTGGCCCGGCCATACAATTTAAGTCAGAAGGCGACACAGGGAAGTTGTTTGAGCAACTGGGCGATTTCCTGACCTGTGCTTGAGCCTCAGTTTCTGAATCTTCTTCTGGCCCCTGGCTTGGTTCCTAACCCCAGCTCTGACCCCTGGCTTGGACTCTGGGTCTGACCAGGAGGATGGACCACCTCTGTGCACCACAGCCTGCTGGCTGTTTTAAAATCAACTGCTCTCCCCACCGCACTACGTCTTCCAGAAAAGTCTTCTCCTCCCCCTCCCCAAACAAGGCTCCTCAAAGCCCTGATGTATTGCTCCTCTAGATACCCTCTCCCACCTTCACAGCTCCTGTCTAACCAGCCCACGCGACCAGAGCATAGTACTCTGACTTTGGGGCAGTTCCATTTACACTCTCCATCCTTTTCGTCTCTCTCCCATTGCAGCACGTACAATAGGAGGAAGGACATTTGAGCACTGACTGTCACGCCACTTTTCCACCTGTAGCTCAAAGGGAAGCAAAATGAATGGTGTACGGTTTAATCGTTGTTATTTACGGGGCGGTGTTAACCGAATGAAGCGCTCATGTCAGATGGCGTCATGGGTTTGAGAAGCAAACTCAAGACAGAAACGGGCCACCACACACAGACGTGAGGGGAACATCAGATGGAGCTACTATTTCTGAAGAGGGAGTGCAAACAACGTAAACAAAACAAAAACCATGGAAACCCAAACGCAAACCAAACCACAACAAAACCCAAAATTTGCAGCTGACAAGCAGGCTGGTCTGCAGGCAGGGCAGTGGGGATGGGATTACCCGGGTGTCCTCTAATTCTCTGAGGAGTTTTTCAGCCTGTGCCTTCTCAAACAGCAGGCTCTGCTCGAGCTCCCGTATTCGGGCATGCTCCAACTGCGTCTGAGTCTGGTCACACATAGGGAAGAAAACAAAAACAACAACAACAAGGGAGAGAGCAGAAAACAGAGAGAAAAGGCTGCAACATCATCTTCAGTGTACAAGACAAGGAAAGGCAGTTCACAATGGGAGGAGAATAAAGGTCTCAACAGGCAGGAAAATTCATCCAAACAGAAATAGGCTACTAAGGGATTTTACATGGCCCTCAGGGTGGTTATTTAAGCGGGCTCCTTTTATAGGGCCCTTTTTAGCAAAGCATCCCTATTCCAGAAGGGTGCTTCAATCCCACTAGAGGCAATGAGACTTAAGCAGGTGCTTACGTGCTTTCCCGAAGGGGGAGGGCATAGCAAAAACACTTCACAACCCAAGAGATTCACAGCAAGCTCTATGCATCATTTGAAGACCATGCAGCATAGGGTCTGTGCTCACACTGCGCAAGGGGAACCGCTGGCAGCTGCCTACAGGCTGAGCTGCACACTGCACTGCCCATTACTGGAATTGCCATTCACCTTTTGCAGTAAAGAGAGAGTCTGAGCTATGCATTAACTGCCCGCAAGCAAGTTCAACTGTAAAGGGGGTAGTGACAATACCAGAAAATATACCTCATGTAAGTGGGAAACAATTGCATAGTCAAGTGCTTTGCATTTGTACAGCATCTATGTCCTGGGATTTCAAAGTGATTTTCAAATTCTGCGTCTCAGCAGCCCCGTGACTCGGTTTGCCTGGTAACATGGCGATTACGTTACTTGCCCGAGTTCAGTGGCTGAGCCAGGATTAGAACCCAACAGTGCTGGCTTTATGTCCCTGGCCCTAGCACTCTTATCAATAGCAAAATGATTGTTTAAGCAGATCATCGCTAGCCATCGGTAAAATTGAAATTCCCTGGGAAGAAATGAGGCAGGAGGAGATTCCAGATGCAAACTTGGTTTCCACAATTTTAACTTGCAGAACAATTTTCTATAGAATACAAAGATGATCCGCCAAGACCACAAAGTGGCCAGGACTATCAGGTTATTCAAGTGATACTAGCCAATTTTCTGCCGCTTCCCCCCGCCCTTCCTCTATTCATTTGTATTTTTTCCTTTACAATCTGATTGAATGTGGAATATCATGAATGTGCTTTGGCTTCTTTTCTGTGAATGGAGAAAATTTAAGTTTGCATCAATCTGCCTTTTTTTTTTTCCTTTTTCTTTTTTTTTTTTTTTTTGCGCAGTCTGGAAAATATTATTACATTTCAATTCAATTATGATGAAAATCCAGACTGCCAGGCACTTGCTGTATTCATGTAGCCATGAATACAGCAAGATAAGGTGCATGAGATAATATTTTTTTATCCCCATCTCCACACAGCTCTAAGATCTCGTTCTTAAGGGCTGAACCAAGTTCCAGTCTCACTTTCAGTGCCACTGATCCTGTATTATTCCATTAACCTCAATGACATTACTGTGAATTTACAGCAGCAAGCCTAATGTCTTGAACTGAACCTTCAGCTCAGAAAACTCTAACCCCAGACATTCAGAATCTGTTTAAGGATGGCTGGTCATTTCCCACACACCCCATTCTCCAAAGGGTCAGCTCAGGGATAAGCGCTGAAAAAACAGGGTCTGTTGCTGATTCATTTCCAAACGAGTCCAGGAACCTCAAAAGAAGAAGTTCTCTCCAGAGATGAAAGTTGGCCGGTGCTGGTTGATATGGTTTACTGGTAAGAACCAGTCACCAGTATCGGTCTGTACATGCCCTCCCTTAAAGTGCTGCTGTGGCAGCACTTCAACACTTCTAGGTCATGTGTTCCTACTGGTGGTGCACACTCGCACATGACTCGGTGCACATAAAAATTATTCTGCACCTGGATGGAAAAAATCCTCACATAATGGAAAATATTAGAGGGGGCAGTGCTGTCGATGC